TGCTACCCCCCCGAGCAACAGCCCATCAAATTGCAGCTGATGCTGCCGAGATCCCATGGTGCAAAATGGGGCCCACAGCCGAGCCCAGCCGGGAAACAGTGGCTGTGGGCCGGGTAATGATGTCACATAGCAACACCTGGCTTCCTCTCCCTAGCAACTAGCCTCCTTGGAGTTTTTCTTCAGCCCAGGAATACGACTTGCTTTATAGCTAGATGGAAACATTTACACTTTAACCAAGTGTCTGTGAAGTGCTTTCTCATGCCTCATCTCATTTGATCCTCACAGAAGTCCTGGAGTAGGTAGATAGGAGACACGGTGGAATCCTATTTTCTTTCCATTAGCCAGAAAATGGAGATTTAGAAAGCTTAGAAACTTGACCTGACTGAAAAGAAGTGGTGGACCTTGAAAATGACTTCAGGTTTTCTCACTGAGTCAAACACTGCTGCAGTTAAATCTTTTCCCCTTTGTTCTCCCTGTGTGATCTACAATAATAATCTGCTTCGTGTTGATATTTACTGCTGTGTTGCTGATAATTACCTAAAAGAGAAGTTGGGGTGCTTCATTGGGGTGCTTCATTGGGCTGGAAAAAGTTAAGCTAAATCAAAACACAGGTCTAATTAAGCAAGTTTATTTTATATCTATAAAAGGCTAAGTTGATTTGTGCATGAGCAATACAAAGCTTTTGCTGGCGTCATTGGCACAAGTGTGTTTCGATCTGTCACTGTCAATAGTGAATTTGGTTGACGCTTCTATTATAGAGAAAGGGCGAATAGTGATATTAAAATATTTCTTCTAATTAATTTTCTTTCAATGTGCATGAATTCATGCACTGGGCCACTAGTAATTAATAAGTGAAGAGAGCTAGAATATCACCATTTTGCAACCCCTAGTGACTTAATGCATTTAGGTGATTATCAATGATGACTGATAATATTATAAAAAAAGACAACCAGATACAATACTATTTATGAGGAAGACTTAAACAAAACCTAACGTGAATCTGGTCAAGCCTCTGGATGTATTTCATAAGGTAGCTGCTAGCCATGTGTGGTTATTTAAATTTAAACTAAAAGCATTACAATTAAATAAAATTAAAAATTCAGTTCCTCAGTCTCTTTAATCATATTTCAAGTGTTCACTTGGCACACGTGGCTAGAGGCTACTGAACTGGATCACAGATATAGAATATTTTCATTACTGTATAAATTTCTATTGAACAGCTCTGCTTTAAATCCACCTACTAATTGCTAAGAAATAAAGAGAAAAGAGAAAGACGTTAAAACCATGGGGATGTGAACAACATGATTCAGACCGTGGGAAACACTACAGAATAAATTACCAGATTTGTTCATCAAATTGTAAGAAGAAACCCATATATCAAAAGAAAAGATATATATAACCAAAAGATATATAACCAATATATTTCTTGGATTCTGATTCAAATTAAAAATAAACTTACCCTATATAATAAAGATGTAATATGCAAATGGTCGTTATGCCAGGAAGCGTAACAACCAACCGTGTAATGACCAGAACACGGATCAACAGGAGGGTGGGGCAGTGAGCTACAAGTGGGCAGCGGAGTGCTACAGGAGGGGGCAGGGCAGCAAGCTATGAAGGGGAGGTGGAGGGAGATATAGGAGGGCGGGGCAGCAGGTGGAGAGCTACGGGAGGGCAGCAGCAAGCTACTGGCTACAAGCAGGTGGCGGAGAGCTACAGGAGGGGGCAGGGCAGCAAGCTATGAGGGGGAGAGGGAGTGTGGGAAGCTATAGGAGGGCAGGGTAGTGAGTGGAGAGCTACTAGAGGGTGGCAGCAAGCTACTGGATGTGTGTGTATGACAATTCCCATGATAAAAAGATAAAAAAGAAGAAAAGGGAAATAAATGGAAAGGGAAAGACAATGAAAGGCAAGAAGAATAAAAACAGGTAGAAAGAAAAAAGTAAGCATATGACATTGGTAGTGGAATGGAAAGAAGTACAGAGAAAGCTATGCTTTCACTCATCCTCTTTTGCCTCAACTTTATCTCCTCACAAAACAGAAACAAATAAACAAGCAAACAAAGCAAAGAACCTACAATACTTGAAACAGTATAGAACAGCAGCAAGAACAATGTACTAAGCGACCTACGTGGCCTCAACCTGGTGCCTAAGAGCATGGACTTGGTAATCAAACACTTGGGTTTGAGTCCTTGGTCCTCTAGTTATTTCCTTTGAGACCTTGGCAAGTAATTTAACTTTGCCATACCTCAGTTTCCTCATCTATAAAATGCAGACAATAATATTACCTCCTTCAAGGACTTAGTGTTAGCATTAAATGAAATAATGCATGTAAAGAACCTGGTACACAGGAAAAAATATTTTTTTTAAAAATGTGTTACCTGGGTTTCAGTTTTTTAAATATCTAACAAACAAAATTAAGAAGTTAGACAATCGTCCTAGCCAGTGTGGCTCAGTTGGCTGAAGCGTTGTCCTACCCATTGAAAGGGGGCGAATTTGATTCCTGGTCAGGGCACATACCCAGATTGTGGGTTTGATTCCTGGTTGACAACCAATGGGTGTTTCTCTCTCTCCCTTCCACTCTCTAAAATCAATAATGGAAAAAACATTCTCACTCCTTGAGTGAGAAAAAAAAAAATTCTTTCCACTATAAAATATTAA